GTTTATGCAGTTGGGCCATATTTATAACAATTTCAATATGTAGTTAAATTTGTAATAACATGCGCATAGTATTTATCTATGATGTTAATATATATAGGTCAAAAAAGAGCATGCCAATATTTTTTGACCCTGTTATGTTCAATCTAGATAGAGAAGTAGAGTAGATATTGATATACAATTTGTTTTTTAAACTATCATACCAACCTATCCAGAATTCAATAAGAATTAGAATCATAAAACAAGCCATAAACAAATATTCATAAAAACATTGCGATCATGAGAAATTATTTCAAAATACTTAAATTGACATCAGTTGATACAATCAATATTAGCAACAATTTTTTCTTTTATATCAAATAATTAAAAATAGATATTCATCATCAAAATAATACTTGAAAAATAAGGAAATGAAATTGACATATTATTTTCACAAAATTGAAAATGAATGTACCTACATATTATATCTAACTGTAAATAGGAAAAATATAATTGCCAGTATGTATGTAGGTACCTAATGTATTTCACTCCACACCTGTTGCAAKTGTTGGAAATTAAATAATGAATAAATCCTAGGAGAAAATCTACTTTAGAAATTGTATACCTCATATTAACAGAATCATGCTTTTAACAATAGTATACAATCTATTACTGTCAAATATCAATATTATCTAACTACCCACCAATTGTATTTATACCTATCAATCAACCATTGAAATAAAGCTTAATAATTGTTGTAGTACCTACCTAAGTAACATTTGCATACACAGTACCTACATTGCTGTACAAAATCAAACCTGAACACATCCAGTAGGCACTTGGAAATAATTTATGTTAAATAAAACAGAGGTCCGACCCAATTATATCTCTAATACCAGCTAACTACCTAACCAAGATTTCAGAACTTAGGTTGCAGACGAATTGGTTGGATATTCGATAGCCGAAATAAGTCTGTGAGTTAGTCACTAAGTATGACACAAGATGGAAGAAGAAAAAAACGAGTCGTGCGTGTCCTCGTATCGGTGTCGCGACAACGTACCTGTTTTACAACTCCCTCGAAAACCCTGACGGACTCCATTGCTAAGGACGCGGCACCGGACGGCAGGTTTGTCATTGTGGGATTATTGATGGTTTGAAGGATAATATTGTTAAATGAAGATGAATCTACTAGTCAACCGTACGTACAAGAAGACAACAGAAGAATGAGAGGGAAAAACGAGCTGTTCACGCCCCGCACGACTCGACAGAGGAAACAAGTTCGTTACGGACAATAGCCAATGATGACACAGCATTTGGCGTCGAGGGAGTGGCTAAAGAGATCAATTGTATAAGTCAAGGAGAATAAATATTAACCRCAAAAATCGCAGATGTTTCGTCCCTGTCGATTATTGAGATAGGACGTTTGGTCCCCAATATTTTAAAATAATAAATTTAAATCACTTGTTTATTTAGGATTCCTATTTTTTTCATAAAACGTAAATATCAGTCAGTATAATTTGTATTATTAAAATACTAAATTTTTAAATATTATAAAATATATTACCTTATTAATTTTTAAATATAATAATAATATATAATATATATATTATAAAGTTATATAAAGTATATACAAAATATAATAAACTCAGGCACAACAGTGTTGTAAATGATAATTATCCTCTTATTGTGAATTTTTTCAATGAATACAGACAAGGTACTAAAAAGACTATAATCATTATTTCTTCTCCAATTCCTAGTATTAGCTTTTCAACTTATCAAAATCCAAAAGTAAATTATACTGAAAATACTTCAAAAACTTCATAATCTTCAGAAGTAAAATTTTTTCAACCATTTTACTCATCTACTATTTATTATCTAAATACAATTTCCTTTAGGGTTTTTAGGATTATCAAGCAATGACACTTGAACGTTTTAACAAGTTGGTAATCCTCAACATTAGTTATTCAAATAGTATAAATTCAGAAGAACCTTAGGTAGTATGAAAAGTTCAATGTATTTTATTCATATAATTATTATTAATATTTCATACTTGTAGTTATTATATTTATACTATGTAAGTTTAATGTATAAATACATTTTGATTGAAATAACAAAATCATTGATGTCTACCTATAGTACACATTATAATGAAATTTAAATGTGCGAGTATTTTAACTAAAAAATTTTGGTACTAACTTATGACTTTTTTGAAACGTTATGTGTGTTTTGTTCTATCAATATAAAGTAGGTATG